GTTTATTCCTTTTGAAGTAACGAGGTGGTTATCTTCATTCCTCTAACCTCCTATATGCATATCGTTTAGCTCATGCGGAACCCATTTGTCAATTTTCTTTGCCTCTTCTATCCGAGCCAAGTGACTTTAAATGGCTCACTTTCGTTCGAGGCGTCTATTTCTCTCGCTCATTGTCGCGTCTTATTTTCACCTATTATTTCGTCGCGATATTATCGTCCATCTCCAAGCTTTTCCTCCGCCGGTGCGTTAATTTTTCCCGATGAAAAGTCGCCGGAGCAATTAATATATATTTTTAATTAATAAATATTCTCAGAGTTACCTAGGGTTTTTAAATTCCGCAGCGTGTGTCGGCGTTGAATAACATCGAAGGCGCGTTACCGTGGCGTATTTTATAGGCACTGTATCGGATTTATAGGTGATCATTAAAAAATGAATATAAAATTGAAAAGTGAAAGCGTGGAACAATGTCAAACGAAGAACACTGGGCGAAAGGTCAGCTCGTCTCGTGAAACTCGCGTCGATATACAGGGCTATTCTAAAGTAACCTCGCAAAATTTACAAGCGTGTGTAACACCTGAAGATAGATAAAAGGTTACTTCGACCGGGTGGAATAAGTATACGAATTTTATGATCCTACGACAAAGCTAGAAGTTGCAGCGTTTAAGGGTACTTCTCGCACCGTGATTTACGACCAACACGCTCGCCATTTTTCCACCAGTGCTTTCGCTCGGTTATTTAGATCCGTGCTGCTCTCTTAATATGTTCATAACGAACCGCTTTCATCCTCCCGAGTGTATCTCTCTCACGTTTTAACGAAATTTTCATTTTTTTCCCGCCATTCTTTGCTCTTGCGCGCATTCCGTGCATTCTTATGCGTTACGTGCTTGGTAAAAATATATTTTCGCAAATTTCCTAGGATACGTTACGTGTCTCGAGACTTCGGATCGTTCGGACTAATACGAATAAATCGAGAAGCTATATTTCGATGGATAATTTCGAATTAAGTAATCGCAGAGTCACCAAGTGTCACCAAAACCACGCGAATTTAACTCAAAATTGGTTCGTTATAGCAAGAGAAACTGGTGCGATAGTGTATGGATTCGAGGTATCGAAAATCGGCGGACGTCTGAAACCACCCTGTAGATCGCAATTAGGCGTAGGATTCTCTCGGCGCGTCTCGCGAAACCGATAATTATCGATGCTGTGGCGGGTCGAGGGGCGGCCTCGTGGCACCACGCGAATCTCGCATAGCTCGTAATTTCCCGTAAGAAGACGTTAATGCGACGAGGCGTAAGGTTATTAACTCGACGCCCACGCGTGCCTCCGCGCATTTTTCCCGCTCGCTGACTCGCGCGCGTTTCGTACACGCACGCCTTTGGCACCCCCGCAACACGTGCGCGAGATGGCGGAGAAATCGCCGGTGTCCCTTGATCGACGTTGAATTAATGCCACGCGCACTCACCGGGATTGCCCTGGCGATAAAGTAGCCGGAATGTGCAGAGGTTGCGAGCGTTAGATCGGCGACGAGCGAGCGGAGGACAGAGCTGATGCCCAGTTCGGCGGAGTCCTCCTCGAGGTTTTGCTCGTTTAAGGGATTAGCTGGATTTATGTCGGGAAGTTGCATTCTTTGTACCCTCGCGCGAAGGAATGCCTCGCTCTGAGATATTGCAACCGGCTGCAATTTGTTTCCCGTTTGACTCGGGCTGTGTTTACCCGGGTCTAATGATGTTGTCCGCTGTGACGATGCCTCGTTTTTAACTCGTTTGCCTGGCCTCCTGCTTTCCAGAAGGGGTTGATTAATAGGGAATATTCTTTCGCGTCGATCCCGGACTTGGATCTCGTTTTTCAGAGAACCGATACTCGGAGTCGATGATACGCGAGCAAGAAGATTGGAAGATGGAGAAATTATTGTAGTAGCTTCCCATAGTTGTTTTAACGTATCAGATTAACACTTTGACTGCCACGCACTTTTTATATTAAAATTTCTATTTTTCTTACGGTAGAATAATAAATTATCAAAAATTATTGTAAAATGAAAAGAAAAAAAGAGAAAAAATGGTGCAAATTATTATTATCCTTTGCTCCAAGTTCTCTGGTTATCTATGTTGTTTAAATAATCCAAAATTGGTTGGAATAAAACAGATATAAATTCGAAAAATTAATATACCAAATTAGTATAACACTGATGACCACCATGGCCCCACTGACGAGACAAACGCCGGTCATAGAGTACCATCATGGCAGTCAACGTGTTAATAGGATAGATATCTTTCTTTCGTTTTGATAAGTGATAAATTGGAAATTTAACCCTTTGCACTCTCGCAATTTTTAATACGACCTATCAGCAACTTAGAGTCATTTTACCTTTTCTGTTAGCTTTTATAGTACAATACAATGTTTATCAATTAAGTATTTCATTTTCATCGGTTCTTCTGCCAAAGGTATACTGGTATAATATCTGTCAATAAACATACGGTAACCCCGTGTTTCAGGAATTTTATCTAGCAATATTTGATATAAATCCAGCGAAATTCTAGTATAGCATTGGCAACGGAGTTTATAAGCTATCTTACAATATCGCCATAGCGGTGAAAACAGAGTGCAAAGGGTTAAAATTATTATTTAACTGAATACTAGTGCACTGCGTTTTTTAACCTCACATATACATCAAGAATTCTCTATTTTCTAGTAATATAAGGTTAATTAATTATTTTTATAAAAGCACAGAAATTTGTAAAAAATTTTCCTGTTCAATTATAGAGAAATCTTTTTAAGGTTTCCTCGATTTCCTGAAGGATTCCAGTTCCAGAAATATTTTATAAAAATCGCGTAAACTGTAGAGGGTTGGTATCGAACAGCCATAGCTAAATGAAAATGCCCTAACATGCAAGATTTATTTTTCTTCGCGGGTACCAAATCGCAAAACCAGTTAGATCTCGCCTTCCCAGATATTAATTTCTACTCGTGTCACATTTTTTGATATTAAGTTCGAATTTTAAACGAAATTGAAACACGAAGAACAGTTCCTCCCTATCTGCGTCAGAGGAATATTAACCCTTTGCACTCGAGAGGTGACTCTCAGTCACCATTTAATCAGATTCTAAAGATCGACGTTAATTAATATATCAAATTTACAATTATCCAACGATGCGTGGAATGTCGAAGAAAAATAATTCTACGTCTTAATTTGCATATGATCTCTCATTTACCACTTTAGAAATATCGTCGACTCTTTGATAGAAAGTTTTCGAATTACTATTTTTCTGCCACGAAAAAGTCGTCTAGTGCAAAGGGTTAGATTCAACGATCTTCTCTTCGGATTCCATTCTTGCCGTTACTTTTTCATATCCTGACAGTGGATTTACAGTCTGTTACATCGTAATAATACACGAATTAACCATTACGATTGACACGAGCGCGATGTCAGCTAACAACCTAGAGAGCTAGTCGTTTTTCCCAACCTCTCGCGTCATCCCTATTCAAATTCTTCATTAGTTACATCATTACACTCTGGCTGCGTTATCTAACGACATAAATCGTCCGGGTAAGCGTGTGTCGTTACGTTCTTCTAGTACCATTTTCCCCTGCATGTTAGGATGATTCATTAACTTGGATGAATATTTATCAAGGCGTTCCGTAATTTCTTCCTCGTTCGCTGCTACTCGCAAATCCTTTCTTATAATGTCATTTATTACGATATAAACCGCGGAGGTATCGCGTAAACTCGAGTCCGTTGCCCAAGTTCAGCGTCGGTTCTTTCTAATTGAATGTTACACCTGGCTGGTTGTTTTTCAGCGGACAAGATAACCGACGCGTCGCTTTGGTCACACGCGTATTCTCTCCACCCGATTCAACATCTCGTTACAATGTTTCAACGTGCCGCGTCGATAAGGCGACTCGTGGAATCTTAATTACAGACTCGTTAATACCTACGCGTGTCTGCGTATACCTGCCCCGTGCGTGTGCTCGCCTCCGAGTCTTGTCACGGGATATACGCGATCGCGGATCCGATTATGCTCGTTAGTTTGGCTAAAATTTCCACGCCTGGCGACAATGTGCACGCGGCTCCGGTTCGTTAGACCGCGCGTGGCACCTGGATTTGATTTACGGCCGCGGATACGATGATCGAGCGACGATATTACCGAGAAACCAGATAAAACCGTCGCCCGAATAAATCTCGAATCGAGTCTAATGGCCGCGAGCATTAGCATCCTGTTCCTTTTCATACGCCATCCGGCCCGATATTTCCGCCGCGTATAACGATTATCCTTAACCGGCCGCGAGTCAATCGCAATTAATTTTACACCTCCGTAATGGCGTTTCCGATCCGGCAACTCGAGCACAGTCTTTAATGCTAATTTAAACGGAATCATTTGCCCGCCGCTCTTCTCGTCCGCGATTAGCCTGGAAACGCGTTTACGGCGTTTTAATCGAGCCTCGTATTCCTCGTCCGTTGGAAAGAAAGGCAAATGAACGCGTTTCCTATCATTCCGCCACTCCACCGCACGCAGTCTGATTTTCAGCACGCCATTCACAACGATGTCGCTCCAGTCGTAATTATTATTTTCTCATTCCCGCGTCGATCCTTGTTTCAAGGTCCGAAGCTTCTTGCGAGAAAGGTGTATCGTCCGAATCTTCTTGTCGACCGTATGAAGAATTCAGGCGAAGGTTTACGTCGTTCTAAGAACGTAAACTATTTTTGAAGGTTTGAATATAATTTAATTACAATATATCTACGGCAATTTACAATATGTCTTAGCGATATGCGTTCTACCGTGCTGTCGTTTGTGTTGTTTCGATGTTTGTACTGTCTGTCGTCTTGGTGTCGTGTATTTTTATATGTTCGTCTCTTGCTGTCATTGGCTGTCGAGATGTCTAAGTGGTGGGTGTGTTTTTTCTCCTATTGGCGGCGTGTTCGTTGGAGGGATGTGCAGGAGGCTCGGAACTGGTAGGTGGAAGTGGAAGTTTAAACAAATTGTTAATTTGTTTAGGTTTGGGATATGAGTGTAGGGAATGAACAAAAGGAAGAATTGAGGCAAAGGTTCACGTCTTTTTACGAACGCAAACTATTTTTGCCGATTTTACAATATATATTTACAAATAATTTATAAGTTAATGCGATGAGAATCAGCGATATGCTTAAGATCGTTTGCGTTCACTGTGTCGTTTTTCCGTTTGGAGTGTGTCTGTCATCTTGATTTCGTGTATTTTATAGATTAGTGTGTTGCTGAGCATTGGTCGTTGAGGTGTCTAAGTGGTGGGTGTGTTTTTCTCCTATTGGCGGAGTGCTGGAGAGATGTGCATGGAGTTGGGAGCTGGTAGGTAGAAATGGAAGTTTAAATAAATTGTTAATTTGTTTCTAGATCTTTGGGAAATTTTCATCTTCTTATGAAGGTTGACTCGGGGGTTAGTTTAGGAGATCGAGGTATTCGCGAGTCGTGGAACGCTGGTTTTAAAGGAGTAAACCATCGTCCGTTTGATTCGGGTCCTTTGTTCCTAAGGGTAAGTTTGGAAATAGGGATAGGAGGTACAGATCTTTCAAAGAAAGACGAAGATTCAATTAAATCCGGCTAATTGTGTATTAGCTTATGGACGGTTACGATTTTTACTAGGATTCACTCGAATGGTGTTTTGGGAGGTATGGGGGTCCGCGAGTCGTTGGATGCTGGTCGTAAAGAGGGCACCGTTGTCCCCTCGACTCGGAACTTCCTTCTTCGGGGTGAATGCATGGAATGGTATACGAGGTTTGGGTTTTCTCGACGGAGATAAAGGTTCAAAGGATGCGAGTTAATTATTTGTCAGTTTATGGAGGATTTGCGTCTTTATTGGGGATTAGATTGGGTGATGTAAGGGTCAGCGAATTGGGAATGAGTGTGGGGAATGAACAATCGTCTCGTGATTTTTCTCATCGTCGTGTCGTCATTTTCGTACACGAAACGCGAGATACCATTTCGCTTCTTCTTCTTTCGCGATTAAATCTCCGGTAATTAATCAGGTTTTAATTAGTCCCTTTGGCGCGGAGTATCGAACTCGTGAGGTGGAACGCGGATTTGCGAAGCGACGGAAAAGGGGACGTTAATTAAATTCGATCGGGAATACGGAATTGCTTTTCTCCTTTGCGGTTTGCGATATTAAACGGTATCGAACGTAGAGATTAGGTGATTTCGCGAAAAACCGGAATTAACGTTAATTTCTTTCGAGCTGGAATTAACTACAACAGAACCGATAAGAGGCGCGATAGGTGTGGTCGCAATCAGGAAAATGATTCAAACTGCCAATTAGATATCCAGAAGTGATCTGTAATCGGGAAAATCGTCGCATAAATTTACCGATTCGCGCAGAAACACGCGCAGATAGTCGTACCTTTAATTTTCCTGTTTACTCCTAGCAATTAAAGTAATCTGCGCGAAAACTGGAGTAACGGTATTCCATAAGAGCGTAAAAAATGGCGAGCGAATTTTTCCCATTATAATTATCTACCGATCTAGCCACGTATCGACTTACGGTACGATTGATATCGCGTACAGACCATTACCGCATGCTAACCATTTCGAGAACTGCCAGGATGATCCATTAGGAGCACCAAGAAATATTTTCCTCGACTTTCAACTCGCTCGACATCCAACTACTAAACGACATCGCCCAACTACGCGTCCCATCCATCCCCATCTCCGCTTCTCCGCCACCGATCTCTATTCTAATCACGTCCAATACCAATCCACTCTTCCTCGTTCACCTTCTCGGGCAACAACGATCCTCGTCCGTCCTATCCATCCTCTGTACCGCGTTACCACCTCCATTTAAGCGAGCTCGAATTCACGCGAACCGGTGCACCGATCGTTCAATCCCCCCTGAACGAAGCGGAGCGCCTTTTCCCCAACGATGCATCATCCTTCAGACAGCGTTTCGCTTCTTCCACCAGCGTGCCCTGCGCGCCGTTACCAGACATCTTTGCGGCACCGGGAATTAATCGCAGGCCATAATTTCCGAGCGCGTGGGCCGTCGCGAAAAACGAGAAACGCTGAATTCCTCGAGTCGCGCCGATCTTTCCATCGAGATCGGCTCCGGCAACCTGTCGATCCGCTGTGTTATCGGTGCCTTTTCCGGCCCGTGGTGGCCATCGCGCCGTGGGCGGGGGAAGTGGCCGTTTCGAAAGGCCTGGAAGGCTCCTGCACCCGGGACCGGTTCGATCGCCGTCGATAAATCGGTTCGCTCATTCATGTTTGGCCGTGCACGCACCGAGCCGCGGATTCGTTTCGTCTCTTTCCGCTGGATTCCTTTCCCTTCCAGCGACACGGCCGCTTCTAATCGGCAACGATCTCGCCGATCGATCTCGCCGATCCATCGTGTCTCACCGCCGGGAACATAATTATTGGCCAGCCGGCGGATAAGGGTGCGCGCGATGAGTCTGGAGATGGCGCGATACAGCCGTTGAACCGATTCGATGGAATCGGGCAATCGGATCTCGACGAAGCATCGGGAAAAATTCCACGTCGTGCTTCTGGGTTGTAGCCGAGGCTTTTCGCGATGCTTCTTAGACGGTGCTTAGCCGACCGTTGCGATCGATCCACCGGGCTCCGTGGGTGTAGGCGAGAACTTGATGACTTTATTGAAGTATCGCGGATGCGGGTAACAAGAAGAGTAATCGACAATCGGGCTTCGCTTTTTCCCCGTGATTTATAGCGACCGCGAGTAGCTTAGAAAAGAAGGCTTCTGGGTTAGCTCGATTCGGAATGTGGCTTTTTACGTGCCGTCGGTTCTGCTGCAAACCTTGAGTTTTTCGGGGGTATTCGAGAAACGTGATTTCTTACCATTTTTCATTCCGATTTTTTATTATGTGATTTGAAAAGATCGGTGTATTATTAGAATGTTACAACGAGGACAAATTTTTGTAGTCGTGATACGTGTTGGGGTTAACTCTTTGCACTCGAGTAACGTCTTTTAGTCGCCGTTTAATTAAATTCTAAAGATGCATGTTAATTAATATACCAAATTTACAATTATTCCACGATGCGTGGAATACCGGAGTAAAATAATTTTACGTCTTAATTTGCATACGATTTCTTATTTACCGTTTTAAAAATATCGTCCACTTTATGGTAGAAAGTGTTCGAATTACTATTTTCCTGTAACGAAAAAATCACCAAGGTCATTCGTACCGTTTTTAGTGTTACTTTAACACTTTGCCGGCCGCTGTCACGCAGACGTGACTTTGGTTCAGCGCGGCACAATGTTTCATTATGCTTCTGTTTTAACTCTGCCGATCGTCTTTTCTCGACATTCTTTAAGCAGATGCTTGTTCCGTTAGTCTCAAATATTGGTGCCTTTTTAAATAATAAAAATAGCGTAAATATGACCATCAGCAACTAGTAGAACCCGTGCGAAATTCACCGGCGGCGAGAAATGAGCGGCCGGTAAATTGTTAAAATTCGCGAAAATTTGAAATTTTCCCTCGATTCCTTTAAAAATTAGTATTGAATATTAGAGTGCTCGAGAAGAAAAGATACAATGCATAATCGATACTGTCTGCAGATGGCTCATAGCAAAATTTCGAGCAAGTTCCCTATTGAAATTTTCCACACCGTTTATCTAATATTTCTCCGTATTTTGTTATCAAATTTCTGTTTCTAAATGAGTTCTAGTCTCCTTGTCTCTGGATTGAATTAATTCTAATCAAGACCGACTAGATTTTAACCCTTTGCACTTGAGAGGCGTGTTTCAGTCGCCATTTAATCAAATTCTAAAGATGGGTGTTAATTAACCCTTTGCACTCGAGAGACGAGCTTCATTCATCATTTCATAAAATTTGGAAGTTCGATATTAATTAATATATCAAATTTACTGTAACGTAACAGTGTGCGAGGTATCGAAATCAAATAATTCTACAATTCTGTTATTATACAATTCTTTATTCGCTGCTCAAAAAAGTATCGTCAGTTTTTTAGTAGAGAATCTTTGAATTTCTACTCTTCTCCAGCCAAATATCGAATTTACAATTACCCAACGATGCGTGAAATATCGAAGTAAAATAGTTCTACGTCTTAATTTGCATACGATTTCGTATTTACTATTTTAAAAATTTCAAGATTTTAAAAATTACAAGACTCGAAATTCGAAACTTTTTACTTTCACGGTGATTGAAAATATTTTCGTTGTATACACGTAACGTATATTTGTCATAAAATATTTCAGTATCTCGGAAACTCGTTAAAGCTGATGAATCGGTACATCATCTCTGGTCCAAATGTTAATATCATTTTCCGCAACGAGGAATTCGTTTAAATCTTTAAACGAATTTAAATTGGAAGAGGGAGATTGGCAGAGTCGATAAAATTATCAAAGTTGCGCGTAACCGGCGGGTCAAAGGTGATCCACGAATTTTTCATATCGATCCAGCTATAACGCGCTTTCTTTAAATCTCGGCAGATAAAGCCGCGATTATCATTCTTCTCGTATGGCAATAAAGTTTGATCAGCGAGCCGTGAGAAAAGAAAATTTCCAAGCCGGTAGTCTCCTTCATCTCGACTGGATGCTTTAATCTTTCGAGATAACAATCGAACTTCCATCAGCGGCGTATCGTGGCCCGATTCGCGCGAAAGACGATTCGATCGACGATAGAAATACACGATAGAGAGATTGGCAGGGTAAGAGAGATCGGCCAGCTGCAGATAGGAGTAAAAGTGATTACTCCTGCGAGCGTGATGAGGATAGTGAAAGAGCGAAAAAGGGGCACGATAAAATATGAATATAAATTAAAATAAAACAGGATGCACGAAATGGGATCGGTGCCGCGTGGATAAAACGCGAAACAAAAATTCGCGAAGATAACAGCCTCGACAGATATAGGAAAACGTATAAGAATAATAAGCAAAAATAAACAAAAATAGAAATATCGGAGGAGTATAAAAGATGCAAAAGGAAGCATAATGCGAGGTTCGGAGTATGAAAAATAGAAAACGGTGCACAGGGTTGCGGGTAGGTAAATGGCGGGGTCTGGAAAAAGAATTAAAACCTCTTTTTGGGCCATTAAGGGAGTCAGGTGGAAACAATGCAGAAGTAAACTGCAATAAGACGTCGTGGAGAGGATTTAAAGAAAGGGAGTACGGGAAAAAAGTAAGGGAGGAACAAAGCGAAAGAACGGCGAGGAATAAAATAAGGAGGAAGATGGAAGGCGAGATAACGAAAGCTCGTGGGGCACCGGAGGTGAAACACATTGCGAAGTACAAAGTGAAACAGACGATCGAAAGAGGAAGATAAGGCGGAAAGGTCAGGGGGGATTAAAAGACTCGAACAGTGAATTACCAAGTAAAATTTAAAGCTCGGAACAAGCACGAATCGAAGCATGAAACAAATACCGCGGGGGGGAACCTCAGTGCACTGAATAACGAATAGAACCGGGTTTCCTATAAGTAGCAATTATCGCGAATAACGATTCGAATGAAATCGGAAGCGTGAAAAATTTGACGGGTCCCCGTGTAATAAAATAAAATAAATCGATGGAT